TTGGAATTCAAGTCATTAGCTTGAGAATGTAAAGTGCTCTTCAGCTCAGCATTGATGTTCTTGTAATTAAGCAGTTCACAATCTTTAGCTTTCAGTTGTTCCATGAAGCCTTCAAATTTTGATTTCAACTCAGCCTCCCTCTGCATTGAACCATTTACATTTAATTGTAGAAGCTGAAGCCGACCGAGTAATTCTTTCGACATACCTACGAGGACCTCTGATAAATTTTCTGCCTCAAAACCCCTCCCACAAATATCTTCTAATTCTTCCTCCAAAGCATAAACATCTTGTTGTGAAGAATGTAGCCTCAGTTGCAGTTCATCATCGATTTGACTTGTTTCAATAAGCTTCTTTTCAAGATCCATCTCTCTAGCCAGCGATTTCTCCAGCATCCTTAGAATGTGTATCTGATGTTCAGCTGTTCGCATGTCTATTACAGGGTTCCTCTCCACCAAATGATTATTGTCTGGTGAGTCTGTGCCCCTACCGTCATTTCCTGTCGATATTCACATGTTAATTGCATAGATTTAGGAAAGCTGAGAATATCCTCAAAATTTTAGGTGCAGTACGGAAATCAATGTTATTTTTTTTCTTTTTGCAGGGGATGGGGGGACACCACAAAAAGTTGTATTAGCATGGTGGTTTAGTTGTGATGATATATTCGAACAGGTTGTATACTTACCATTATAATAATAACGCAAGTTCTTCTGTAACTTTGCTGACTGAATTCTAATATCAGAGATCAGTTCATGTGATTGTTTTAAGGATTCTTCAGAATCTTGCAACTTTTCTTCCAGGTACATGGAAGTTTCTTTGGAGGTTTTACAGAACGATATCAGTTCGGGAGCATGGAAAATATCAGTTTGGATCCTAGCCAAGAAACCATCCACTTCGTCCACCTCTGAATCTAAAAATCCAGCTAGGAGATCAATTTCCGATGCTCTTTCGATAGAATCATCAAACATATGTTCATTCTCAGACGCCAAAGCTTCAAATTCACTTTCCCTTGTAGCAATATGCATCATGAGAACACTTAAGTTAACTAGCTTTTCTGATGCACGTGCCAAATCCAATTCCAACCTGGTTATTACTTCACTGCCACTTGCTGCATCTCCACTAGCCCGTGAAGTACTGTCATATTCATCTGCCCCCAGAGCACTAACGTTATCACAAATGACAGATGTGCTTGCTTCAGATACAGCATCAGTATCCATTTAAGAGTCCTGCTGTCCTGTAGTTCGCAACCTGGATAGCCAACAGTATTAAAAAGAAGACCCAAGAGCAACAAAATTGTGCCTGTGTACGAGTATTGAATGTAAGACCAGTAAAACAACTTGCACAAAAGATTCAAATGTAAAAAGTAATGCCACTCTCTCCAATATTGAATAAAGTGAACAAACCAAATGGAGGACTGAAGTCACTTAAAAGATCAATGTAGTCGAAGGTAGATCATCATTCACTCACCCATTTGGGCGCATCAACCTTTCAATAAATACCTCCCCTAAATTAAACAAGACAGGGAGGTGATCCGCTGGAGTTAACCTACGAAGTGTTTGGTTATCTATTCCAAGAAATTTAAAATTAAACTAAAAGTAACTAACCATATCCTCAATGATAAAGCAGACCGAGAATGGCAACTACTACACATCTGTTATATGATGCAGTCACATATATTGATAGTGCAATACTTACAAACAAGTTTTTTTAGACTTTTTTTTCTGTCCCCCGGTCAAAATGGAGCAAAAACTTCTGTGTAAGAACTACTCACAACAGAACAAACTATCAGGGAACCAATAAAGAAATTCAATGAAAATTTTCTCTCCGTCTAACAAGCTACAAGCCTACAACATAATGTTCGAGAAATAATTATGTTTGGCGGTACAGATGACTGTGCGAAGGAGAAATATTATTTTGTATACAATTTATAAGAAAACTGAGATTGAAATTGTTTGGGTGCTGTAACATACTGCCTCCAAATTGAATTCAAATAGTAATCATGGTCTGCATTACGATCATGATTCATAATGTTAACCCCAGGTAAAGAATGGGTACTATAGGAGAGATAAAAAGGGTAATGGAGTCTTCGAAAGTTGGTTAGAATGTGTGGTGGGTATATGGACATGGAGCTATCTTTTCTTTGGTAGGATTCTTTTGGGTTAGGTACTAGAGTATGGGAAAGTGTCCATTGTCACAACCATACTAAGAAGATAGTAGGTTGTGATCCCACGTGCAGACAAGACAAGGTAGTAACACAAAAGTGGCGCCTAAACAGCCACATGAGAGCCAAAACAAGATAAGTGTCATAATGCGATCGAAGAAGACAGTGCATCATCCAACACACCATATGAAGTGTGCATTGAAGCCAAGCTAAGACATAAGCAAGACAAAGGCAACCATGTCGACGTCGGAGACAGGCTCGATAAGGGTCGAGTAGGGCCTTGAGCCTTTACCTTGAAAGTCGGGGTTCTAATATGAGTTTTGTCATGCGACTTTGGAGTTGAGTCCATATATAGAAATACGAATGCGAGCCAAATTTGGTGTTAATCAGACACCTGACACGCGATCCACAAGGCTATATAATCATTTGCCAAAATCATGCATACTCCTACCCGTCTAAATATGCCTCAAAATGTACTATGTTAGCTCTCCACCACCCCTAAGCCCTTTTGCCTAAGCGAGCTACCATGTGACACATACGTATGTTATAGATGGACGAACATTACAAGACGAATATCTTGGGCCTCCTCCTTTGAAATGGATATTTCAAGGACAACGTCGAATGGCACGGTGTGCCCCAACTCATGTATTGAAAGTTGATATATGCACCAACTCATAGGAGGTTTCATGCCTCAATAGGGCCCAGATGAAAGGATGTTTGGGATGTCTCACTGATATGATCGGAGTTTTGTTTTTTCAAAAATGAATCAACTCATAGGTTGGTTCTTGATAGATATGTCCTAGCAAGCTATGATGGCCGATGACATTCTAAGACTTGAGAATGACTTCCATACTTATGCACTACAATCTTGTGCCATACAGAACTACTGCATTCCAAATCCCCTCCCTAAACCCTCAACTTACAACTTTCAAATATTTTGTTTCATCCCAAAACAGAGTGCATATTATAGATTATTTTAGTCCTTGGTATCACTTATTTAACAAGAGATTGAATTCAGTTTGAAATTCAACACCTAACCTATAAAATGTGGCTTTAAATACTTCATACGTAGGCATCTGTTCGTCAGTCAAATAAGCATAAAGTCATGACTTCCCTTTTTCATATCTTTATTGTTTGCTCTCATTTGTTGAAGTGTTGGTTCAAGCATCTTTCTCTATTCAAAACACAGTGGGTGAGTTAAAGGATAATGCTCTTCAACTTATTGTTGATCCTCTTTTGCTTACAAAACTGAAGTTACTTTGTTTAAGCATGTCCAAAGCATTCAAATCCAAAGCACTCAAACTTACCAAGGGTTTTCCCCAACTAAAGAATAAAGATAGAAGTAGGCTATTCAATGTAAAGACTTCACACCCTACCAAATGAGCCCAGATATCAAGCTTTCGCCTGATGCAGTTAATACCAACTCTAAACAATTCTTCCTATCAAGCCAAGGATTGGAGTTGGGCACAAAGACTAGGAAAACTTTATTGAAATTAACAAAAGAATCTTCCCCCCCAAAAGCAAGGATGATAATATTTACAAGTTAGAAGTTACGAGGTGAAATTTGTCGCTCCCTACCTGAAAAACCTTGGATTCTGTCCACTCCTGTAGATGCTCGTCTAGTAAGAATGTCCACAACCACGAGGAAAAGGATTGAAGAACAGGCATAATCTTGCCGAGTACCTCTTAAAAAAAAAAATCCTACAACAGAAAACAATTCCCAACCCATGACATTTAATCCCAAAACCCTGTTTCCACAAGTTCTTCTCTAAATAAACGTGATTATAATCCTTCTCCAAATCATTTTTAAATATAACTCCTTCCCTACTAGAAGCCCTCTAATCCATGTCTCCCTAAACAAAGGGTTATTTATTTTCACAGTTCTTTCCTGTTCGCTTGAGGATGGAAGAACATTTTAACCCAAAACTAAATATAATTCACTCTAACCTTGTTCTTTTCAATGATTGGGTGTGCGGATAAGTGCATTTGCTTAAAAAATAAGATACCCTTCCCAAAACTACCCTAGAAATGAATAGTTAACATTTCCTATATTAGTAAGGACAATCAAGTTCGACTATAAATGACAACCCATAACATTAATCCGCACAGAATCATCACAAAAAGACCCAAAAGAAACTATCAAATGCTCATATAGAATCCTCAATGAACAAACATTGAAACCCGGCCAGTATCATCCAAATTTAGATTTGTAGTGCAAATTCTCGTCAAAACCCACATATGATCATCAAATCTCTAACGACCCAGATCATAATTTCCCGCAAAAAATCTCTTCGATAAAGCCCAGGCAATCAGAAACCATAACCCCATGAGCATGTAAAGAAAGCAGGGGAAACAACAAGCACACATCATAACATTTCAGTCACTTTCTCGATAGAACTAACGAGAAAAATTCGAAAGCAGTAAAAGATAAGACGCAAGAAACTTGAAGATGAATGGGAAAGAAAGAACGAAAGGATAAAAAAAAACGCAAATTAACAGACAAATACCTCTGTGAAACCCCGAGATTTTCAATGGTAAGAAGAATTGTGTTAAGGGACCAGAGGGATTTAACGGGAGATGAAGGGGAAACAAATCACAACTTAAAAACGAATTTTTAATGAAAAATATTATTAGAATGACAGGTCATTCCGACGTGGCATTTTGGGAAGAACTTTCTTCTCACAGCCTATTATATTGCGACACGTGGGTTTTGGTTGTCGGCTTGGTTGGGGGGTTGCAGAAATGAAAATTTTATATTGGAATAAAAATAAAGTAAAAGAAAGAATCGAGATTGAAGTGAAATTAAGGGCCAAATTAATAATTAAATTTAAAATATTGATAAGAAGATTATTAGAAATTTAGTTAAATTATAAGTTTTTTCGCAAAAATCCCGTAGCAGTTCTTTGTTCCGACGAAGCGACGGCGAGTGATTTCAATTCCCGGGAAGGTTTTGCGGCCTCAGGTACCGTATTTTGTAAGCGTCACCGTTTTGATCTTATTTCATGGCCGAGAAAGAGGAACAACAATTGCCGAACAGTGACGAGCTTGCCGAGTCGCTCAACGAATTCTTCACCAGTGTATCCGAAATGATCAAATCGGATCTTCTTGTAAGCTTCCAAAGCCCTAATTCTCTTAGTTTCCGTCTTGCTATATCGTTAATTTTCCTTTTGTGGGTCTCTGTGCTTCATTGATTCTGCTCTCTGGCGATATTGGTTGTTCTCACTGTGTTGAATTATTTCATTGAATTGGTTCTTGTAACTATTTGGTTGAGCGTTTTCATTGAATACTATTAACGTCTGGGAAATTAATCGACCATGTTTGAGGTTCTGAGGTGCCTTTTGACTGTTGTTGGATTTGGAGTTGAGTAAGTGAAAGTAGTAGGAATCACGACCTTCCAAAATGGTATGATATTGTCCACTTTGAGCAGAAGCTTTCATTGCTTTACTTTGAGCTTCCCCAAAAGGCCTCGTACCAATGGAGATGTATTCCTTACCTATGATCATTTCCTAAATTAGCCAATGTGGGACTCCCTCCCAACAATCCTCAACAATCCTCCCCTCGAACAAAGTATACCATAGAGCCTCCCCTGAGGTCTATGTAGTCCTCGAACAGCCTCCCCTTAATCGAGGCTCGACTCTTTTCTCTGGAGCCCTCAAACAAAATACACCATTTGTTCGACACATGAGTCACTTTTGACTACACCTTCGAGGCTAGCAATTTCTTTGTTCGACTCTTAAGGATTCTATTGACATGGCTAAATTAAGGGCATGACTCTAATACCATGTTAGGAATAACAACTCTCCACAATGGTATGATATTGTCCACTTTAAGCATAAGTTTTCATGGTTTTGCTTTGGGCTTTCTCAAAAGGCTTCATACCAATATAGATGTATTTCTTACTTATAAACTCATGATCATTTTCTAAATTGGCCAACGTGGGACTCCCTCTCAACAATTCTCAACAACAATCCTGAACAGATAGATAGACGATTGACAAAACCATCAACCCATTTCCCCTGCTATCTATCTGACCTTGAATGACCTATTTCACTTTTTTCACTATCTTCTTCTTCTCTAGAAATCTATTTCTAATGTTCTATCGAAGTTTCATTTAATCTTTAACAATGATAAAACTTAAGGTTTGGTTTAGTCGAAGAATCTAAGACGTGGGAATCAATTTTTGGTAGATTACTGATGGTGGGTATGTTATTTTATTACATAGGGATCAAGTAATCAGCTGGCACTTTTAGAGAAAATGAATCTCAGGGTGGCAGAAGAGTATAAAGGTCTTGGCGATGTGGCTTCTGGAATGAGGGTTTTTGTGGAGCAATTGAAGGCAAAGAGTGGTGGCTTTGATGAGTACATCAACCAGATTGAGAAAATAGAAAATCAGGTGACTGAATTTGAAGCTGTAATTTCAATGCTTGATAAGCATATTTCCATGCTGGAATCTAAAGTGTTGTCCGTTTGTCAAAACTCGGCTACATGAATGAATTCCTTTGTTTGTGTTCAAAATTCAGAATGGTTCCTTTCAGAATATTTTTGCTTCTATATTGCTCATGGTGTTGAATCTTTTACAATATCTCATTCACTGGCAGTTGATGGTGCTGAAGAGTTGACATCTTTGTTTTCTTTTCCTGCTGAATCTATAGTGATTTTTGGATGGTTTGTGCTAATTGTATGTCAAAGAAATTTTGGTTTTGACTAATTTTGAATGTACGGGGAAATAGTTCTCAGATCCCACGTCGGTTGGAGAGGGGAACGAAACATTCTTTACGAGGATGTGGAAACCTCTTCCTAATCGTGAGGCTGACGGTGATACGTAATGAGCTAAAACAGACAATATCTACTAGCGGTGAGCTTGGGCTATTACAAATGGTATTAGAGCTGGTGTCAGCGAGGACGCTGAGCCCTTTATGGGGGGTGGATTGTGAGATCCCACATCGGTTGGAGAGGATAACGAAGCATTCTTTATAAGGATGTGGAAACTTTTCTCTAACAGACACGTTTTAAAATCGTGAGGCTGACGACGATATGTAACGAGCTAAAACGAACAATATCTGCTAGCGTTGGGCTTGGGCAATTACAAATGACACTAGAGCTAGACACCGAACGGTGTGCAACAAGGACGCTGGGTCCCCAAAGAGAGTGGATTGTGAAATCCCACATCGGTTGAAAGGGGAACAAAACATTCCTTATAAGGATGTGAAATCCTCTCCCTAGCAGACGTGTTTTAAAACTGTAGAGCTTACCGCGATACGTAACAAGTTAAAGCGGACAATGTCTGTTAACGGTGGGCTTGAACTATTATATAGAATCTATGTTCTTGGTGTATGTTACATGTGAAACAGACTTTCGTAGGATTAAGAAGATTACACGATTATGTATTAGAGGTGAGCTCGGCTAGCAGAAGCTGTCATGATGGACCATGTAGAAGGAACCATACAAGTTCATCTCCTTACTCATGAGTCATAAAATGCTGGAAATGAGAGAAGCAAGTTCCTTTGGGGTTGAAAATGAAGCTTCGTCTTAGCTCCGATGGATAGCATTATAATAGATGTACACACGAGATGCTGGAGGAAGTTTGGAAGGTTTGGTTCTTTCTCTAGCTTGCCCTCTCCAACTAGTCAGGTTATCTAGCTCGATCTTTATACACATTTTTGTGTTGTCGTTTTCCGAAGTCGATCAAACACCAAAGTACGTGAATGTTAATGATTTGAAGATAATGAGAAATATTCTGTGTACGTATGTAATTTTGACTATCAAATGATGATATGCTTAGATAAAATATCTATACCTAAAATTTGGATTAGGTTTTTGAATCAAAATTTGACATTTGATGATCTCGACATTATTCTACAACATAATAAATTTTTTAAACATGTCGGTCAATATTTACATGTTTCATATGAAACTTTCCAGAAGGCTATCTAATATATAATTACTTCAGACGAACTATGTTTAACTTTAAAATTGATATGTTTAACTTTAAATTGATATACTAAACTAAAATGAATATTATTTTTTAATAATTAAATTATTAAAATTTTAAAAGGGAGGCATCACAAAATATACTAAAATATTCTAAATTTTGAAAATGAAGTATTTTTTTAATTTTTAAAAATTAATCAATTTTAATGTTTTGGATCCAAAATATTTTTTATTTTTTATTTTTTAAGATGTCAGATATTTTTGTATCTTTAAAAAAAAAAAAAATACCGAATTTCCCATCCGAGTGTAGAATCTCTTGTTCAGCATAGTAACGACGTCGATTTTCACCACAGGACACACCGGGCAACTCCGGCGACGGCGAGTGGTGACTGGTGAGTTAAGCGCCAGCTGGCGGCGATCACTGAAGGTTTATATATCATAGAACCACTCGTCCATAGTGTATCTCCCGCTCGCACTTTTAGAACGCCGAGATGACGACTGCAATGGGACCTCCACCGCCTAGAAACCCTTCCTCCGCTTCTCCAATGGATTCTGATGCCGGAACCCTTGAGGGAGATTCAACCTCTTCTTCAACGGAAACGAAGGTCACCATGGGCCCTCCTCTTCCAAAAAATCCCACTCCTCCCGATTCTGACCCCCCAGCCCCGACCGCAACTCAAGAAGATGAATCACCCGTGATTTCGGTCAATTCTGATGCTTCAGAACCCGTTGATAAGGTTCCAGACGCTCCCCCGTCTGATAAAGCTGTGGAACTGGCTTCGAAGCAACCCCAGAGCGTAGCGGTGCCATACACCATTCCTTCTTGGAGTGGAGCCCCCTCCCATCGTTTCTATTTGGAGGTTCTGAAGGATGGATGCATTATTGATCAATTTGATGTGTAAGTCCGTTGAATGTTTGAAAGAAATTTTTACAATTTCGTATTAATTTCTCAAGATAGATGAAATTCTGGGAACTTCGAGAAACGGCCTGATATATTGTTTTTCTCATACTGGGTCTTGATGAAATCATATCCTACTATTCTTTTATTTGTCAAATATGGGTCACTGAGTTGTTTATATGGTTTTAGATATGAGAAGGGGGCTTATATGTTTGGACGTGTGGATCTCTGCGATTTTGTTCTGGAGCATCCAACCATTTCTCGGTTTCACGCTGGTATCCAACTTTTCACTTATACTTACATTAGTTGACATGAACATTGTAGGGTTCTTATCACAGGATTTTCAAGCTTATTAACTTCAATGCAGAACTTATACAGTAGTAAATTTAGGTTCAACAGTTTTTAGCGATTATCATTTATTACATGTACGAGATTTAATCATTGTTTCTATGGAACCGTTAAGTTTCCACACACTGTAATTGCATTTCCCTGGGATTACTTGTATTATCATGTAACACCATAGGAACCTATCAATTATCATATCTATTATAACATCATTGCATTCTATCGTGAAGGTTCCATACTAGTTTACATGTACAGGATTTAATCCTTGTTTCTCTAGCATCATCAGGGTTCTATACATTTAAAAATGCATTTCTCAGTGTCATCTCTCCACTCTCCATTAGTTCTAAGCTGCCTTAAATAACAAACAGTAATAATATATAGGTGCTTTGAGCTAAGATCTAAATATCTATTATGTTCAATTGAAAATTGAGCTTTCTGGATGTTGCACCTTCCTTTGACTTCTTTTTTAAATGGTCCGCTCTCTCTTTAAAGATAGAAGTTTAGTGCTATCATTTCAGTGGTACGGATAGCAACATCGTGGCTTTCTGTAAGACAAACTTGCAAGTTGTGAATTATGTTGTACTTTCCATCTATAGTACATGATTTATTTGTCATCGCTAAATGAGACTTTTTTTTTATCATTTCTAGCAACCGTAAGGCATATGATATCATTAAGGCCATTAAGTTGGTTGCTCAAAGGGCGAGCATCCAAATTCCTGTTTCTTAAAATTTAGAATACTAAGCATTGTAGAATGCCTATACAAGAGTCTAAATATCTAAAGAGCTTTTGATGCTCTCCTCAACCCTTGGGCTCTAAGGTTTAAATGGTGAGGCTTCTTTTTATGAAATAGTTTGGGGAAAGATGGATCGATAAGAAAATAATGTTGTTCACATTACCACAAGATACGCTTAAGCGGCAACTAATGTCACACTAAAGAATTTATGCTACAATGAATTCAAGCTACTTCAAGTGGGGCTTCATTTATTCTTGGATGGTTAAAAATTGGGTGAATGATTAAAATCTAGATTTATGATATTTCATTAGTGTATTTTCAATTTTAAGACTTTTTTATTTACTTTTAGATTACATTTATATAATGGCTAATTATGGTCCTAGAGTATGAAAGTTGTAACTCTTAGAATGCCTCATGGAAGGTCAATTGTTTCATTTTGAGGCTAGACAAAGCCATGTATGTTATCTTGTAAAATAGACTTAGAAAATGTAGTAAAAAGAGCATTTGTGGTTTCTTTTAGCTTAGAGCTTAGTTTTTTTTGTGATTCTATATAGTTTAGGTTACATGCTTAGAATCATTGAAGCTTGACTTGATCAATCTTACTTGCGGAGTGATTCAAATCTCAAACAAGTTTTCTTGCCTTGAGATATTTGATCAACAAGGTAATCCGGATTTTACTTTTCCTGGGTAATTCCTTATTGTTTTGGAGTTCTTGGAAATTTTAGATCTAATGGTCTTGTTCTTCAATTAGGTTGTTAGGTCGAATTCCCAAGAGCTTCAATCATTTGGAATGAAATCACCTTGATTTGAGGGTTTTGACATTTGTGATCTAGGAGTTTGCATATCCATAAGGGTTGTTCTTATATAATTGGTTAGGGTTTTCATATGACTATGGAATTAAAGAAACAAGAACACAATAAGGGCTTGACCCTTAGTAAGGATATTGACATCATTGTTGATAGGAAGTACTCTCGAGGCTCTCATCTCATATCATTGGTTGTAAAAACTAGATGTACGAGGTGGGTGAAAATTGGGGTGGGGTAAATTGCTTAAATCAAAATAGAAAAAGAAAGATATATCAGGCAATGTACCAACAATATCTTACAACATTAAGACTTCGGAGGTAGATTGAGAAACAGTATTCACCTTATCATCCTTGAATCTTACAAGGAACATTGAATAGGAGACTAGACATTTTTGCCCTTTTTTCCTGCCATTATATATTCTTTTCATCAATTTTTCTTACTTCTCATTTTAAAATTTATATTTAAAATGATTCAAGACAAACTGCTATATTATTTAACTCATGAAAACAGTATAATTAAGTTATTTTCCAAGGTGTACCCATTAATTTTTCTACAAAAGAATTATAGCTATTCAAGGATGCTAGGTCTTATATATAGTTGAATGATATATTGACAGTATGTTTTTATTAAAGACTAATTTAAGTGGTCAGAATATGGTATTATTTTACTATATTGTCTTCCTTTTGTAGTTCTCCAGTTTAGAAGTAGTGGAGATGCATACCTTTATGATCTTGGAAGTACTCATGGAACTTTTATTAACAAGAATCAGGTATGGATCTTTCTTAGTTACTTTTTATTCTTGGTAATTGGTATTTGTATCAATCTTTAATCTTCTTCACAG